TACCAAAGGTATTAGCTTCGAATTCGTACCTGAATGTACTGCCGTATGTGATGGGGCACTGAGTTATCATTGAAGCTCCATCCATATATTGACTCCCTCGCATATGTTGGCCGTGCCAGTGGATGGTGACGCCCTCACCATTATCAAGGTGGTTTATGACGTCAACTATAACCGTATCACCATGACAAACCTACGTAAATTACAAAATCCAAATAGAAGTTAACTATAAGAAATAACATTTACGCATATTATTATATGGGACACTGTGTAGTTTAGCTTACCAAGTATCTGTTTTAAATATTGTTGAGCCAGTTATGCGACATTCCCTGGCCATTCGCAGTGCCGAATGGCCTGGTGGATCCGTTACGTAAATGCATACACGATACAGAATTCAGTGTCGTCACTGATTGGCTTGCTCCATCATGATGTCTTCATCGCATGCGCAGACTGACCCGAACGTAAGGCCTATCCAAAACCCTTCAGACTAATTCACTGGCCTGTTATTCGTAGATTTTTCAAAAGCTCACGATAATAGACGACGCACACAATTCATACAACCATATCCTAGAGTGCAATGTGATAATGACGTCATTGGAGGAGCACGCCAACCCAAAATTGTGCATCCGTCCATGAGACTTTAAATCGTGACATATCTACCATCATTGTGATCGTATCATGTACATTGGCGCACTCACCTCTATGCTGGGTCCCGGAAGCATTCTGTTGACGGTACAAATGGGTCTTGGTACTCCATTAAGAGGTACGCAGTGCGGTCTTGCGCAATCAGTCTTATTGAATGGACAGTTATAACAAGCTTTAGACATGCTGTAGTACCATTCCACTTCAAAACGATATTCACAAACACGGCTCTCCATTGGATGTTCACATTGTCTCCGGCAATGATGGTCTGAGCTTACAGTCATGCCTACGACTGAACAATGACAGTTTTTAGTTAAAATTGACAATTTTATTCGTACATTTCACGACTGTGGAATCCTGCAGTCTGAAAAGAAAACACTCAGGCTGTAGGGCAATCTGATTAAAATCTGATGTAGTGTAGTGTAGTGTACGGGCTTTAATCATTTTGACTATAAACTTATTTTTTTTTTATTATTATTACTTTTGTTGTTAATGCCCTTTTATTTTATTTTATTATTTTACTTTGATTTTGATTTTGTGATTTTTTTAATTCCGCCCTACCTACATCTGATCCAACGCCTATGTAACGAGATTTCAACGAGACCCACTATCGAGGATTTTAGTCCACGAATCACAGACCTCCTTCTATAGCGCACATGATGACGTCACCGGGCGGAGTCGGGTGGCAAACACACTCAAATAAAATGGCGGATTATACCGACGTTAGCGACCGAGAATAACACGGCTTTTCGATAAGTTTATCATTGTCAAATGCAACGAAAGTCATTTTTATGTTAATATTGTGGCTCGAATGGTTCGACTTTAGATTGTTATTTTGCATAGTTATTCTGGGCGTGACTATTTTGTTTCCACCGTTTCGACCGAACACCAGTGTCTTTTTCCAGTTGCCTGCCCTGGAGACGGTTGATGTTTTGTTGACGATCGGGCCAACATCGTCTACGGTATTGAAGCCGTAGCTGTAAATATTCATCAAATTGTATCAACATTTTGTACATTATACAATAACTCTTTATTAAAGTCATTGAGCTGATTTGGACTGGAATAAAATATTTTTTATTGGAACACATTGCAATTGATCAGAAATATTTTTTTTGCTCCAATTTTCTGAGTCGATGCCGTGGGCCGGTGACCGTTATACAATTTAAAATCAGTTTGCATTGTTTACTATAGCTGTTTACAGTGTTCTAATCATTACGATTTACTTATTTTTTTTGCTTCCATTCTAGATAATTATGCTCAGTGATGTAAAATTGAAGCGATGACTGAATGAACGAACCTTGGCTGGCGAAGATGTATCTGGAAGTGTACACATTTGTTGGAAGTGAAAAAAATATTCAATGTAATGACAAAAAATTGTAAAATGCTGTGGAATTTCTTTTGCAAATAAAAATATACTAGCAATTTTCTATTAATGGTTTATTCAAGTGGGACAAAATATAATGTACAGAAAGATTTCCCGTAGAGTATCGCTACACTGAAAAGTAAGCAACCGACAGCCTGTATAAAAGGGGGGCTGTGATTGGCTGTTACTTACGCGAGATTTGAACGGGACTTACATAGGCGTCGGATCAGATGTAGGTAGGGCGGAATTAAAAACAAATCACAAAATCAAAATCAAAGTAAAATAATAAAATAAAAGGGCATTAATAACAAAAGTAATAAAAAATAAAATTAAAATAAGTTTATAGCCAAAATAATTAAAGCCCGTACACTACATCAGATTTTAATCAGATTGGCTGTAGGGTCAACATGAATTCATTTCTTGAGAAGTGTGGGGAAATGACAAAATGTTCGGATGACTTTGTTTCTGCAAATAATCTCTCTGGGGGAGAAAGTATTTCACAATTTTAAGATGCGACTTGGAGTAAAATATATATTATTGATATTGTTGTTTGATATTATGAGTTATTGTAAACTATAAATGTTTCCTTTGTGGCACGCACAACAACAGTATTCTGGAAATGGGAAAACACTAATGCGAACATGAATTGACTATTCACCGTTTGTTATTGTACGCACAAAAATAACCAGTGCGGCGAAATACCTAGCCGAGTGCTACACAAGAACAACGTAATTAAGAATGACGCCACTGATGACCCATTTTTTTTATTGATGAAAACTGGGCGGGGCTGCGCGTGATTCGAGAAATTATTGCCCTGATGTGTAGGCGTACTTCCCATAGCGTTACGAGGCCGGGAGATACGAGATTTATTTTATTTTAGTTTGTTTAGTGTTTAATAAATATTATCATTATTAGTAGTAAATTACTTTGTATTGCTGCATTTAATAATTAATACCTGTACCCTAAAATTCGATAATTAAATGGTTCTTCTGGCGTGATATCGACTAAATGAACAATGGAGTTTCTTGAAATGTGAGACATATTTGTGAAATGGTGGTGTATACGCGTGTACACAATTCAAATGACAAAATTTAGAAGAAGTTGTTACTAATTACAAAAATGAATAACTATTCCATGACAAGTCAGTCTAACACCGCTTTGACAATAACATGATCTCTTCATTTGTATCACTATACACTGTTGAGTTTGAACACAATTGTACTCATGATATCGAACGTACAATAGGGTATCATGATGCGTTGTTAAATTGCATCAGCATATACTTAGTACCAAGCATGAATGCGAACAATACGAGGTGTGAATAGTTTGAGTGTTAAAAAAGTTTGTAGCTCCCTTGTCTCATTCATGGCCGTCGTACGCTGCGTTATTTTCGGAATACGCCCAATATTACCACATACACACACTCGGAACATAACAGTAAATAACACTAAACCATAGACCATCTGAAAAATCTTTTAGATGGTATGACTAAACACAGTATTAATTTCATTTCAAAAAACTATGGGTATTTCTGGCTCGTGCTAATGTAGCAATGAGCAACGTATTGGTAACCGTGTAAATGTTTGGAAAACTGCACAAGCGCATCTTGTGTTAGTCATGGAGGTAAAAGGCAGATTTTACCTCCATGATTTAGCATTATGATACAGAGAACAAACAAACAAGTCATTCACTGCCAAGTCAGCAAGCTACACGAGCCCCAGGCTGTACATACCCCAACCCCAAAATAACATACTGAAACAACCAACACCGTTCTGTACACATGCAGTAGTAGGGGACATTTTCACAGATATTCTACATTAAAAAAATATTAATATCAAAATATAAAATTAATAAACAGAGCGTCGTGCGCATTCTCTACACAAACTCCACAAGGACGAATGGTTAAGCAACTTCAGAATCGCTCTCTATCGACCATTCTGCAAAACTTCTACACTTTACAAGTAACCTGTAGAATGCTGTGTGGGTAATATTTTTATATTGATTTTTGTTGCATTTGCAGCAAATAGTTACCAAACAATGAGAAATCTATTGGATTGGATTTACCTCTCAGCTGGCTTCAAATACATAGTTGAAGCCTGCCTAACCGATGCTTATGTCATGAATTTGTTTTTGCGTATCTGTTAACCGACTTAGTTAACTGATTATTAGCGAATTGCTGTGTTATGTCTGTCATCGTGTAGGCCTATTTGAAGTTTTGGACGGAACTTGGCTCAGTGATTTGGAACTAATTACAAGATACCGTCGCTATTCTGACATCCGTAGTTATTAATGTAGTGAACGATTAATCAAAAGATATGACGTATTCAGTACTTAGTGTGATTGGCTTTATGATTGAAGGTTACGCCCTAGAGTCTTTTACTGTTTTGTAATTGGTTAGAGTTTTGAAAATGAATAAAGAGAGTTTGAGTTGGTCTTGGCGAATACTCCACGATAGACGCAGTAGAGAGAGAAGGCAGTCCTGGAGAGTCGAGTCCAGTCCGAGAGAGTCCAGGGGCGACGGAGCCTTGAGGCAGTCCAGTCTTGGGCGAGTCTTGGTTCAGCCTTGCGAGAGTCTTGGGGATCTTTTCCCCAGGGCGCTGTGTCTGATAGAGTGTTCGATTGACCGACTAAGACGAGAGCTGAAACGTATTTCGTTGTGTGTGCCTTATTTGACTGTAAAGTTAAAGTGACTTTCCCGATCCCGTACCTCAAGGGGACGAGATAGAGAGACGAGACGAGATTCCCCCTGACAAGTGTGAGGACCCCGAGA